GGAGGTGGGGTTCTCACCCCAGCTAAGCTCCCACCTGGAGGGAGGGGTGGCCGGGCCAGGACCACTCCTGTGGGGCTGCCCCCAATGGCCCCGGCACCCCGTACCCCGCCTTGCCCCAGGCTGAAAAGCGCCTGCTCCTGAGCTTCCGGCACGGGGCATGAGTGGACTAAAAGGACCCGGGGCCCTCGGGTGGAGGCAGGTGCGAGCTCCCCTCCGGGAACGTGCGGCTGCCGGCCTCAGGCAGTGCTCCCCACTGGCCACTGCTCAACCCGCCCTGGATGGGGCCAGCCCGGCATCCCAGCCACCCCCAGCCCAGCAGCTACCGGCTCCTCCCACAGCCAGAAGAGACCATCTGTCCACTGGAGGCCGCACTGTGCTGCGGGCAGCGGGCAACACAGGACCGGGGTGGGGCTATGTGCACCTGAGTGTCCCAGGGAGATGGGGGGACAATGACCCCAAATCCCAGCCCAGTCCCCAACCAGTCAAGGCTGAAAGTGCAGGCCCGTGGGTGCCTGGGGTGCCTGGCCCTCTGGGCATCACTGGACAGGGGCTGGGGGGTCTCAGTGAGGGGGCGGGCTGGGGCTGCGGGGTCTGAGGGGGGCGGGCTGGAGCTGCGGGGTCTGAGGGGGGCGGGCTGGGGCTGCGGGGTCTGAGGGGGGCGGGCTGGAGCTGCGGGGTCTGAGGGGGGCGGGCTGGGGCTGCGGGGTCTGAGGGGGGCGGGCTGGGGCTGTGGGGTCTCAGTGAGGGGTGGGCTGCTGGTCACCCGGGTGAGCTGTACGCCCATCCCTTACAGCCGCCCTCCTGGGCTCGAACTGCCCTCCCCGGGCCCTGGGAAGACCCTCACCTGTGACAGGCAGCTGGTTCCGTTTCTACCTCTGGCAGGGTGGACCTGGCAGCTGGGGTGGGAGGTCTGCAAGGCTGGTGGAGAAACAGGAGTTGGCGGGGTGGGAGACAGAGGCCAGAGGTCAGGGAGTATCGCAGCCAGGCAGGGCCTCCCCTGGGTGCTGGGGAGAATGAGGGACACTCTCCTCACACACACGGCTGCAGGGTGGGGGCCCCAGGGCCAGACTCAGTGGGGGTGGTTGCAGGCAGGAGCTGGACTGGGAGCGACACCTTTTCAACATGCTGTGGGGGGTGGGGGGCAAAACCACAGGGGACCTACGAGCTGGCCATGGCGGGGTCACCAGTGATGCTCAGGGGCCGGGGAGCAGGGAGGAGACCCAGGGCCGGCCCTGCCACAGCCACACAGGGCCTTGGAGGGAGGGTGGGGCAGGTGACCTCCTGCAGGCCTAACACCCCTTCCCTGCCGGCCCCTGCCCCCGCCCCTTGGGGGACCTCCCATCCAGCCACCCTGTCTCCAGGCTCTCAGGGTTCCCACCCTCTCCCCAAGCAGTGGGCTCTGGGACCTGGCCCAGGGGCAGCGCCTCCCAAGACACCAGGCGTCCGGATCAACAGGAAGCCATGACTCGCCCCCTCACCCTCACACCTGGGCACTGGCTGCCACACCAAGCTCTCCCGGCCGGCACTGGGCCTGCGCCTCGGATGGGAGGTGGCAGCTCTCCAACTCGGGGGCATTCTCACTCCCGGTGTTGAAACCTTTCCCAAACACTCCCCAGAGCCACCGTTTTTTCAGTCCTTTGATCTGATGGGGACCAGCTGCCAAGCCTCAGGGGGTGACGCCCGACCTATTCTCCTCCCGGGGACGTCAACCTGACCACAGTGCCAGCGGGGCAGGGGCAGGGGCAGGGGAGGTGCCAGCTGAGGGGCAGTGGGGGGGGCTGGCCGAGGGGCAGTGTGGGGGCCGGCTGAGGGGCAGTGGGGGGGCTGGCAGAGGGGCAGTGGGGGGCTGGCAGAGGGGCAGTGGGGGGCCGGCCGAGGGGCAGTGGGGGGACCGGCCGAGGGGCAGTGGGGGGGCTGGCAGAGGGGCAGTGGGGGGCCGGCCAAGGGGCAGTGGGGGGACCGGCCGAGGGGCAGTGGGGGAGCTGGCAGAGGGGCAGTGGGGGAGCTGGCAGAGGGGCAGTGGGGGGCTGGCAGAGGGGAAGTGGGGGGCTGGCAGAGGGGCAGTGGGGGGCCACCCACAGGTCATCCCAGTTCCTCTGTGAACGGGAGTCCCAGCAGACCCAGGGCCTTGGCCCCCCGTGAGGCGAGCCAGGCCCCGAACCCCTTCTAGAGCCTCTGGAGACACGTGCGGGGGCAAAGGCCTCAAGCCCAAGGTACCGTCTGCTCACGCCTGCCCAGGGAGCCCCGGGGCCTAGGAGACAGCGCCCACCCTCACGGCTCAGCCAGGAAGCTGGTCCGGGGCCCACCCTGCCTCCTGCTTCACAGCCAGGCCAGGCCTAGCAGACGGACGTGGGGGCGGGGCCTGCACCAGGCATTTAGAGGGGTCAGTTGTGCACGTGTCCGGTCCTCAGGCCCCGCTGTCCGGCCAGGCCGGTGGACACGGCTCCTGTCTCCAGTCGCTGCAGGAACAAGGCCCTGCACGCTCACCTCCCCGAATGCTCGGCCAGCTGCAGCACTCCCCGGCGGGGGACTGAAACGCCGCCCAGCCATTTCCCACCAAGCCAGTGCACTGGGAGAGAGGAACCCCCAGGCTCCAGAGGCCCCTTTGTGCCAGATGCCCCCCGCCAGGGCTCAGGGCAGGGCCTTCTACACACCCAGAGCCGCCCTGAGATCATGGGGACAATAAATTCTGGGATGCACAGCTTTTACCAGAAATTTCAGCACACAGACACACAGACACACAGACACATGCACATACATATACCAGCACACACACGTGCACGCACACATGAACACATGCACATACATGTATACACACGTGTACACACATGCACATAGGTGTGCACACATGCAGGCACACGCACACACGTGTGCACACACATACACGCCTGCAAGCGGGCATCTACCACAGGCCCACTGCAGGCTGGTGGCACCCGCCCCCCACTCACCCCACACCTGTGCAAGCTACAGGAATTCCCCAATTCTAGGGGACACAGGATTTTCGTGCTGAATGTCACGGCCATAACTGCCCCTCAAGGTCAGCGGTCTCTGCCATTTTACAGCTGGGACATGGAAGCCTCGGTGGCCAGGACCCCAAGGCCCTGCAGGCCTGACCGGGGAAGCAAAGGGTCCACCGGCTCCCACCCCAGCCCATCCCTGCCCCTGCATTCAAAGCCTCATAGGATCCCTCAAGAGAACCTGAGTTTGGCTCTCACGAGCCCGGACAGGCGGCCAGACAAGCACAGCTGCTGGGCTGATGCGGCCACGGGGCTCCCAGCCACACCATCTGCCCACGAGGTCCCTGTCCGCACCGGCTGCCCTGGTGCGGTGACCCCACCCAGGGAAGGGGGCCCTCAGACCTCTGCGCTCATCGTCCCCACCTCGAGCCTGGGCTGAGGCCCCACTCATAACGAGGGCCAGCTGTGAGCCCTGCGTCCGTCCAGCCTCTCAGCATGAGTGGGCAAGGGCTTCACTCCTGTGCCTCAGTTTCTCACCTGAACAACGAGGACCCTGAGAGTGTCAAGAAGGCCAGACGCAGCGGCTCATGCGTGTCATTCCAGCATTCTAGAAGGCCAAGGCAGGAGGATCTCTGAAGCCCAGGAGTTCAAGACCAGCCTGGACAACACAGTGAGACCCCATCTCCACGAAAAAATAAAGAGGAAGAGCAGATGAGAGCAGGAGCCCCCAGAACGTGCTGGTGCGGAGCGCCTGGCAGGCAGCACACCTGTGGCAGTTTCCTGCGAAAGCAATTTGCTGTAATTTCAAGTAACGTTCTGCAAAACTGAAGCTGATTTACGTGAAACACACAACACCTACTACGTGAGGCACGCGTGGGGCCTCTTCTGCGGTGGGGGGCGGGGGGTGGCCCCGGGCATGTAGGCGCAGGTGGGATGGAGGTGGCAGGCCCGGGTCCAGCCCGGGGAGACCAGGCAGCCTCGGGGTCCCAGCTGAGAGCGCGGTATTGGCGTGTAGTGGAGGCAGCCCCAGGCCGGCGAGGGTTCCTGTGGGGGCGGGGGGACAAACTCCCCTTTGGGAGGGGCCCCTGGACTCCCAAACGAGGCTGGGCAATCCTGGTGACTGGCCAGACACCCCTCCCTCCCCCACTGCAGGCCACTGGCACCACCACCCCGGACGCCACCAGACCTCTCCCTGGCCCTCAGGCATGGCACATTACCCCTCAGGCGAGGCCCCCTGTCGTCCCAGTCCCTGCCCCTCTGCCTGGAGGGGTCAGGAGTGCGCCCCCCCGAACCCCCACCGAGCTCCTATGCCCAAGACAGCGGCTGACAGCCCTCGGGGCTGTGGGGAAAGAAACCGTGGCGAGGGGGGGGGTGGCTTCCCAGGGGGAAGGTCAGGCTGAGGAGGGGTCTTCAAGAGCGAGCCTGGGACCTGGCAGGCTGTAGAGACACACACAGCTCCCCAGGCCTCCAGGGCGGCCCGTCTGAGCCCCAGGGCTGCTGCCTGTCCGCTGTGGCGGAGCCCCTGCTCCCAACACCCCCTGGCAGGGCTGGTCCCCCACTGGGTGATCTTTCCTGTTGGGCAGGGAACTCAGGGTGAGGGGTGGGGCCCAGCGCCCTCCAGGGGGTCCTCGGGTCCAGGCGCTCCCCAGAAGGGGCAGGGCAGGTGCCCCGGGGCCCCCCAGCTCCCCTAGCAGGCTGGTCCCAGCCACCAAGCCTGTGGCTGACGGTGCCCACCCTGAGCTGGCAGCGGGGAGGCCCGGCCGGAATGGCCCCGACAGACGCGGGAGGTGTTTGCAGGACTCTGGGGGCGAGTGCGTGTCAGCCCCCCCGCTGGGAGTGGGCGATAACGGGGCGCTGCCTGCAGGATTTTCCGAAGAAAGTGAGGCCTGATAAAGCAGGCCCAGATCCTGTTTGGCCACCGCTGTGCCCGCCGGCAGTGGTGATTAAGGGGCTGGACCGTGGGGTGCAGGCAGGCACGGCGGGGGAGGGCCCGCCACCCTATATAAGGCGCCCAGGACCGGCCGTTCAAGCCGCACGGGTGGCAGCTGCAGGCCTGCCCGGCCAGAGCCGACTGCCCCTACGCCATGCTCCGACGCTGGCTGCTGTGCTTCTGCGGGGCCCTGCTGGGCGCTGGTGAGTGTGGCGGGGGCGCCGGGTACCCCAGGGCCCTCGGCCGGCCCACACGGACGCTGATGGACCGAGGCCCACCGTCAGCTCGGTGACCTGCCCCCGCTGCCAGGCCAGGGTTCCCCCAGCAGCCTCGGCGCTGGGCTCTGCCATTTAGGGTCAGGGACCCCATGGGTCCTGGACAGGGACGCCCTCCTGCGAGCTGGCACAGTGGCCAGTGGGGGGACGCTCGGATGGAGTGGGTCCAAAGGTCCCGCAGGCAGAGGGGGCAGATGTGTGGGTGCCCAGGCCTGGCACACTCCCTCCCCTCGGCGTGGTCCTGAGTCTTCAGAGGTCTCTGGAGTGTGGGTGCAGAGGCACAGTCCCTGCTGCCCTGGGCCTCAGTTTCCTCATCTACAGAAGTGGGGGGATGCTGCCTCTCCTGGTGTGGCCGCTGTGGGTAAAGGGAGGAGAAGGTGTATGGCCTTCTGGGCTCAGGACCTCAGCAGGCAGGCTGCCCTCTCCCCCGCGCTCCCACCCAGCTCAGGCAGGACCCAGGAGAGACCATCATCCTGGATTCTCTGCCACCCACCTGCCCTGTGGCTGCTGCAGGCGGCCTCCAGGCCTGCCCCTGGCCCCCAGAAAGAGCCAGCCCTGAGGGTTCCCTCTGTGGCCACAGCCGAAGGCCTGGGAAGACCCTCTTGGCAACCAAGGCTTCCCCTTCCTCTCTGAGCTGGCCCGGACCCTCTTCCATAGCCAGGAGCCTCTGGGGGTGGACACTGGCGAGATGGAGCCCCCCTCGGAGCTGCTGCCAGCCTGGGGCCTCAGGCTCAGAGCGCAGTGGGACCCCCAGGGGCACCCCACTGCTCCCCAAGTCCCCCCCACCACTTCTCTCCCCTGAAGCCCCTTCCCCACCACGCCGGGTACCACTCTTCAACCCTGGGGGATGGGGAGGTCTCTGAGCCAGCCCAGCAGTGCCCTCTGCTTGGGACCCCGGCCCCACCTGCATACCTAGGACAGCTTGGGGATAGGTGCCAGGAGTGGGGCCAACCTTGCAGCAGAGCATGGCCCCAGATCCAGGAAGGGGGGTGTGGTGGGACCCAGGGAGCCCGGAGGTCTGAGCTGTGGGCACTGCTGAGAGTGGAGGGCCACGTCGGGGTGTCCACCCATCACCCCGGCAAACGCTCTCTGAGCGCTGTCCCTGCCAGGTACGGGAGGGGCCTGGGCCGGCAGAGTGTGGGGCCGGGCAGCCGGGCAGCGGGCCTGGGCCTCGGTGGGCCGGGAGGCAGCGGTGGGCGGCCGCCCAGCACGCACAAGGAACAGCGTGCACCTGCCGCTCGTGCAGAGGCTGAGACCGGGGGTGGCGGACCAGCCGGCCCCGAGGCCCCTGGCCGGCAAGGGACCAGCCGATGGGAAGCGCAGCCGGGGCAGGAATGACGCCTCCCGCTGTGCTCAGACAGAGCTGGGGCGGCGGACTTGGAGCCCGTGGACTGGGGGAGCCTCCCGAGGTGGGGCAGGGCAAGGGCAGTGTGGGTTGCAGGGGACACAGCCGTGAGGCACCTGCCTGGGGCAGTGGAGACGGCCTGGCACGGCCAGGGCCACAGAGACATGGCCTGAGGTGTCTGTGCCGAAGTTGGATGCCCCCCAGTGCCACCCTCACCTGAAAGGTGGAGGAACTGAGCTGAGGTGTCTGTGCATACAGGGGATCCCCTTCCGAGTGCCACCCCCATGTGAAAGGTGGAGGAACTGAGCTGCAGGGGGCCTTGCCCAGGGGAGCCGGGTCAAGCTCTGCAGGCTCCAGAGATGCTGACCGAGGGGCGGGCGGCCGATTCCTCCTCCCGCCTGGCGCTCTCCCACCCCTGCCCCACCAGACCCAGCGTGGCCTGTCCCAGGAACCACAGGGTTCCATGGCTGAAGGTTCAATGTGACACATACTCCCACAGCAGATGCTTCTGGACCATCCCTGGAAGGAATGGCAAGGGGCTGGGGACCATGTCACCTGCTGGGACCCCCATGAGGGGGATGGGGGATGGGTGGGTGCTCACCAGGCTCAGGGCCCAGCATAAGCCACCTCTACCCCAGTCTGAGGTAAAGTCAGTTCACACTGGGGATAAGCCAGGAACGGTCCATCAGAAGAGGATCTCAAGGTCAAAGGGGACCACAGCCAAATGCGTGTCCCACATAGCCAAGGCCAGCTCTCTCCTTAAATCCAGTCACTCAGATAACCGCGGGCTCCTGCCTGTGCCAGAGAGGACTCACCCAGGCAGCCACAGGGCAGGCAGCCTGGCTCCTCCCTGGACCATGGGCAACACCATCCTCCAGCTGACAGACCCCTGTCCCTGCATCACCAGAGACACAGGTGGCCAGCGGTAACGTGGGCAGCACTGAGTCCCAGAAAGTGGGCAGAGCCCGGGGTGGGGCACAGGTGGGGCGGGTCAGGAACAGGACCTCTGAGCTGCACCTGGAGGCAGGCAGTGGGTGCCCTGCTAACCGACGTGCAAGGAGGGTCCTGGCCTCTGAGAAGGGTCTGGAGAGGTCATGGGTCCTGCTCACGTCCCCCACCAGCACTCGGGCATCGGGGACCCACAGGAGCCACAGATAAGGCCACAGTCCCGGAGTCAGAGGCCAGGGAGTTACCCAGAGGTGGGAGAAGCCTCCCTCTGGGCAAAGGGGGTGGGACCTGGGGGGTGTCAGCCCCGCTCCAGCGTCCAGGGTCAGGGTGGGGCATCTCCCTCGGCCCTGCCCTGGGGTCACCGTGACCCGGCTGTCTGAACATTCCTGTGGCAACCATGGCCTCCGTGCCAGAACTGACACCAAGGCTGACGTGCAAGAAAGTGCCCGCGTCTAGAGCCCCGGAGCCACTGGGAGCAGCGAAAACCGGCTGTGGGGCCCGGCGTGGACCCCACTGGGAGCAGGGAAAACCGGCTGTGGGGCCTGGCATGGACCCCACTGGGAACAGTGAAAACCGGCTGTGGGGCCCGGCGTGGACCCCACTGGGAGCAGGGAAAACCGGCTGTGGGGCCCGGTGTGGACCCCACTGGGAGCAGGGAAAACCGGCTGTGGGGCCCGGCGTGGACCCCACTGGGAACAGCGAAAACCGGCTGTGGGGCCCGGCGTGGACCCCACTGGGAGCAGCGAAAACCGGCTGTGGGGCCCGGCGTGGACCCCACTGGGAACAGCAAAAACCGGCTGTGGGGCCCGGCGTGGACCCCACTGGGAGCAGGAAAAACCAGCTGTGGGGCCTGGCGTGGACCCCACTGGGAACAGCAAAAACCAGCTGTGGGGCCCGGCGTGGACCCCACTGGGAGCAGGGAAAACCGGCTGTGGGGCCCGGCGTGGACCCCGTGGGAAGCAGACCCCTCAGGGAAAGCAGGCTGCCAGGCTGGGGAGGTGGGCACAGCCCACTGTCAGCTCAGCTCTCAAGCCCCTGCCACGCACACCAGCCCCTCCTTGCCCTGCCCAGGAGGCCCCAGCCGTGACTGCCCTGTACACGGGGTGCCCGTCATCTGCCGAACCCCGAGGGTCTGACGGCACAGGCTGAACTGGGGATCTGCGGATGAACGAGGAAGTGAAGGGCAGGAAGCTGGGGCTCGTGAAGGACACGGGGTGGGCGAGCGCGTGGCCTGCTGTTGGGGCCTCGAGCCCCACACCGACTGCGGGTCCCATCCTCACAGGTCTGCCCGATGCCTACGCCAGCCCAGGCCCCCAGAGGCCGAAGGACTCTCCACAGACAGGTAAGAGCGCAGCGGCCACAGACCCTGAGCCCAGACCACCCAGCACCCAGGCCCGATGTGCAGGAGAGAGGGACCCGGAGTCCAGGCCACCCCCGAGACACACCCAACACACACACACACACACACACACACACACACACACACACACACACATGCTGCCCAAACAATCCAGGCCCAGTATACAGGAGAGAGGGACCCAGAGTCCAGGCCACCCCCAAGACACTCAGAACCCAACACGCACACACACATGCACACACCCAACACATAGGACCACACACACACGACATACACATGCACACACACCCAACACAGCCCAATACACACTGTACACACACCCAACACCCAGGCACACACATCTAGCACACACATTCCAGATATGTAAAGACACACACACAACATGCCTGATGTACACATGCCCAGCACACTCTACACACACATACACCCCATATACACACCCTACACATACCTGAGATACACAAATCCATCACACTCACACAAGTCACACACACCCAACACACACATACACATTGTACACATCTACACAGCACCACACACACACCGCCAAAGCCCAGACACGCCTCACACACACGTATGCACACCCATGCAACACACATACACACAACACATGCGTACACACTGCACAGGTGCACGTGTTCACACATACATCCACACACATGTACACACATGTGTGTACCTGTGCCCACGGTGGTGCTGACTCCTGCCCAGGCATATGCCACACCACTTGGGTTCACTTGGATGCCCATGTCTGGGGTTCCCACAGCCTGGCCCCAACTCAAAGCCCTGGCCAGGGAGACGCGTGAGCTCTGCCCTACCCCAGCCGGGTCCTGCCCTGTCCTAGCACTGCCCGGCCAGGTTGGTGGGGACCCCGGGCTTAAGTCGGCCCCGCTCTCTCCACAGCCCCCGACAAAGGCCACTGCTCCACGTGGGGGGTCGGGCACTTCTCCACCTTTGACCACCATGTGTACGACTTCTCGGGGACGTGCAACTACGTGTTTGCGGCCACCTGCAAGGACGCCTTCCCCACCTTCAGCGTCCAGCTGCGGCGAGGCCCAGACGGAGGCATCGCGCGGATCATCGTGGAGCTGGGGGCCTCCGTCGTCACCGTGAGCGACGGCACCATCTCGGTCAAGGACGTCGGGTAGGCCAGGCGGGCTGGAGCCCAGGTCCCAGGGGTCGGGGGCCGGAGGACAGGGATGACCACCGACGGCCCTGGCCCCACAGGATCGTCAGCCCACCCTACACCAGCAACGGGCTCCAGATCACACCCTTTGGCCAGAGCGTGCGGCTGGTGGCCAAGCAGCTGGAGCTGGAGCTAGAGGTCACGTGGGGCCCCGACGCCCACCTCACGGTGAGGATGAGGGGCCGGGGTGAGCCTGGGGCCCGCAACACTGGGGGGCAGGTGGGACTCAGGAGGGGCTGCCCTCCCTGGGAGTCCCGGCCAGCCCTGGGCAGTCAGGCACCGTGTGCCAAGCCGTGGGGACCCCCGGCCAGCAACCAGAGCCAGGACTGGGTTTTGTGGGTGACTCAGCTTCTCCACTGGAAAGTTAGGCTCCCACGAGAAGAGGTCTAACTCCAGTAACTCCACCCCAGTTATTGGAGAGGTCCTGAGCGACCTGCGTGCACCTGCAGACGAGCAGGGTGGGGGCTTGGGGGCTCTTCGTCCAGGAGCAGGAGTTGAGAGCCCCCCGCAGAGGATGAGCTCCCCTGGCCCCGGCACCCAGCAGAGCTGTCTCCCGCAGGTCCTGGTGGAGCAGAAATACATGGGCCAGATGTGTGGGCTCTGTGGGAACTTTGACGGGAAGGCCACCAACGAGTTCATCAGTGAGGAGGGTAGGTAGGGGCAGGGCTGGGGGCCTCTAAGTGGGGGCCAGGGCTGGGGGCCTCTAGGTGGGGGCCAGGGCTTGGGGGGGCCTCTAGGTGGGGGCCAGGGCTGGGGGGCCTCTAGGTGGGGGCCAGGGCTGGGGGCCTCTAGGTGGGGGCCAGGGCTGGGGGGCCTCTAGGTGGGGGCCAGGGCTGGGGGCCTCTAGGTGGGGGCCAGGGCTGGGGGGCCTCTAGGTGGGGGCCAGGGCTGGGGGCCTCTAGGTGGGGGCCAGGGCTGGGGGGGCCTCTAGGTGGGGGCCAGGGCTGGGGGGCCTCTAGGTGGGGGCCAGGGCTGGGGGCCTCTAGGTGGGGGCCAGGGCTGGGGGGCCTCTAGGTGGGGGCCAGGGCTGGGGGCCTCTAGGTGGGGGCCAGGGCTGGGGGGGCCTCTAGGTGGGGGCCAGGGCTGGGGGCCTCTAGGTGGGGGCCAGGGCTGGGGGGACTTCTGTTCTAAGCAAAGAATGTAGATGGGGGGCAGGGCGGGGGACTTCTAGATGGAGCCAGGGCTGGAGGGGGCTTCTGGGTGAGGGGCAGGGCTGGGGGTGCCTCTGTTCTGAGCAAGGAGGGTAGGTGGGGTATGGGGCTGGGGAGCCTTTGCCCACAGTGCTGACCCCTGTCCTGCACCCCCAGGCAAGCTCCTGGAACCCCACAAGTTCGCTGCCCTCCAGAAGCTGGACGACCCCAGTGAGATCTGTGCCTTCGAGACCATCCCCAGCCCCCCGGTCCGGCAGGCCCAGCACGTAAGCGAGGGGGGTCCAGGGGGGCTCACCCCGGGTCTGACAAGCTCTCCGAGGCCACCAAGGGCCCCGACGAACAGCCCCATCACAGACGCCGGGTCCCAACCTCCCTGGCACGGTGGCGTGGGGTGTGGTCTTTGCCCCCGTGACCCCGAGTGCCCCCCAGGCCCAGATCTGCACCCAGCTTGTGACCTTGGTGGCCCCCGAGTGCAGCGTGCCCAAGGAGCCCTTCGTGCTGAGCTGCCAGGCAGACATGGCAGCGGCCACCCCGCCGGGCCTGGGCAACGGCAGCTGCGCCACGCTCTCCGAATACTCCCGCCAGTGCAGCGTGGCGCGGCAGCCCGTCCGCCGCTGGCGGGGCCCCAGCCTCTGCCGTGAGTTCCAGGAAGGGCTTGGGGCTCAGACCCGGCTCTCCTGGCCCCAGAACCCCTGACGCGGCGCCCGCATCCCCCCCCCCCCCCCCCCCCCCCCCCCCCCGGTCTGAGAGGCGGGAGATCCCGCGGCAGCTTCTGGGTGGAGGAGGGGCTGGGCTAAGTCCTCTCCCAAGCCGGGGTGGGCGGGGAGGGGCAGGGCGGGTGGGACCCTCTCACCGGAGCCGCCCGTGCCCGCAGCCGTGGGTCAGTGCCCGGCCAACCAGGTGTACCAGGAGTGTGGCTCGGCCTGCCTGAAGACCTGCTCCAACCCCCAGCACAGCTGCTCCAGCACCTGCACCTTCGGCTGCTTCTGCCCGGAAGGTGAGGGCGGTCGGGAGCACTCACTCCCCCCAGGACCCCTGGGGAGATCCTGGGGACAACGGGCTGTCTGACCCCACCCACCTCGACCCGCCTCACCCCACATTCTGCCGTCTGAGTCCCAGCTCCAGGGGCCCTCTTGCCTTGGGTGAGCCCCTCCCCTCCCACTCCCCCTCCCCCCACTCCCCCTCCCCTCCCACTCCCCTTCCCTCCACTCCCCCTCCCCCCACACTCCCCCTCCCCCGCCATGCTTCCAGCTGGCAGCTCTCCCAGCCACGGCCACCCTGCAAACCACATGCAAGGGTGTCTCGCCCACTGGGATCTCAGAGCCCCTGAGAGAAGGTGGGGTTTGAGCTGGGCCCCAGGGACAGGTACGTGTCTCTGCCTGCTGGGGGCTGCCACTCACTGGGAACCCAGGCTGGGCACACAGTGTCTGGCACAGAGACGTAAAGGCAAGTGCAGCTGGAGTGAGACGCCACAGACAGGCTGGGGGGCGTCTCCCGGAGCCAGGGAGAGTGGGAGGCCGTCAGTCCCACCAAGCCCCAAGAAGCCCCTCTCCTGCAGGGACGGTCCTGAACGACCTCTCCAATAACCACACCTGCGTGCCTGTCACCCAGTGCCCCTGTGTGCTCAATGGCGCCACATACGCCCCTGGGGCGGTCACAACAGCTGCCTGCCGAACCTGGTGAGGTGGTGGGGGGAGGCAGTGAAGAGGGGAGGCGGCGGAGGGGGAGGCAGCTGAGGGGGCAGGCGGCGGAGGGGGCTCTGGAGCCTGGCAGGAGTTCCACTGGCCCAGGGTAGGGGAGGGGTGCTGTCTGGCTCCCGTGGCTGGCCCTGCCCACCACGTGGTCCCCCCAACGCCCGCCCACAGCCAGTGCACCCTGGGCCGCTGGGTGTGCACGGAGCGGCCGTGCCCCGGCCACTGCTCCCTGGAAGGCAGCTCCTTCGTCACCACGTTCGACGCCAGGCCCTACCGCTTCCACGGCACCTGCACCTACATCCTCCTCCAGGTAGCCCTGTGGCCCGTGGGGAGGGGAACCCCCAGTGACCCCACCCATGGCTGAGCCCCCGCCTGCCCACACAGAGCCCCCAGCTTCCCGAAGACGGCACCCTCATGGCCGTGTATGACAAGTCCGGCTTCTCACACTCCGAGACCTCCCTGGTGGCTGTCGTCTACCTCTCCAGGCAGGTGAGGCCTCTCCCGCACCCGTCCCTGCCAGCAGGGCTCTGCTCCCTGGTGCCCAAGCCTGACCCAGGCCACCTTCCCTCCAGGACAAAATTGTGATCTCCCAGGACGAGGTGGTCAGCAACAACGGAGCCGCCAAGTGGCTGCCGTACAGGACTCGTAAGTCCCGGCCCGGTCCCAGCCCCTGAGCCGAGCCTCCAGGGTGGGCCACCGCGGGCAGGGAGGGCCAGGCGGCCGCTGAGCACCGCGTTCCGCAGGCAACATCACGGTCTTCAGGCAGACGTCCACCCACCTCCAAATGGTCACCAGCTTCGGGCTGGAGCTCATGGTGCAGCTGCGCCCCGTCTTCCAGGCTTACATCACTGTCGGGCCCCAGTTCAGAGGCCAGACCAGAGGTGAGTCCCTGCCCCTTTGGGTGGCCCCGGTGCCTTGTCCCTAGGGGGCCGGCCAGAGAGGCTCATGTGGCATCTGTGTCCGGGGAGCCCCGGGGGTAACAGACCCGTGTGGCCCACGCCGGCGCTCACCCAGGGCGAGGTTAGAGGAGGGTTGGGAGCTCTGGGCATGGGGCCGGAATGGGTGCAGGAGGGACAGCTCATGGCGTGCCGGCTCAGGACTCTGCGGCAACTTCAACGGGGACACGACGGACGACTTCACCACCAGCCTGGGCATCCCGAGGGCACCGCCTCGCTGTTTGTGGACTCCTGGCGGGCAGGGAACTGTCCGGCCGCTCTGGAGCGTGAGACTGACCCCTGCTCCATGAGCCAGCTCAACAGTGAGTGTCTGGCCTCCCACTCCCCCAGCTGCCCTCCCAGCCCCCATGGCTCTGACAGACCCAGCCGCAAGGGTGGGGGGGTCCCTGGGAGGACCCGTGGCTGGATGGGGAGGGACAGGGACCCATGCCCCGGCCGGTCATCCCCAGAGGTGTGTGCGGAGACCCACTGCTCCGTCCTGCTGAGGACAGGCACGGTGTTCGAGAGGTGCCACGCCACGGTGAACCCCACGCCCTTCTACAAGGTGAGGGCCTGAGGGCGTCTGGGAGGGCACAGGGGAGGCCGAAGCAGAGGGTGCAGTGGCTAACACAGTCAGGCACCTGGGGGCATCCTGGCAGCTGGCGGGAGGTTTGGGGCCCCAGCATTCCCAGGGGAGAGTGCCCGCTGCCAGCCCATGCCGGCTTTCTGCCCGCAGAGGTGTGTCTATCAGGCCTGCAACTATGAGGAGACCTTCCCCCACATCTGCGCCGCCCTGGGCGACTATGTACACGCCTGCTCCTCGCGGGGCGTCCTGCTCTGGGGCTGGAGAAGCAGCGTGGAGAACTGCAGTGAGCACCCGGGGGGGCTGGAGCGGGGTCACGGCGGGCAGGGGTCACGATGGGCCGTCCCGGGGCCCCACGCAGGTGGCAGAACCCAAGCGCGGCCTCCCCGGCCACCTCCTCCCCGGGGGTCTGATGAGGGCGTCCCCCGCAGCCGTCCCCTGCACGGGCAACAGCACCTTCAGCTACGACAGCCGAGCCTGTGAGCGCACCTGCCTGTCGCTGTCGGACCGCGCAGCTGAGTGCCACACCAGCGCAGTGCCCGTGGACGGCTGCAACTGTCCCGACGGCACCTATCTGAACCACAAGGGCGAGTGTGTGCACAAGGCCCAGTGCCCCTGCACGCTGGAGGGCTACAAGTTCATCCTGGCCCAGCAGGCCACCATGATCAATGGTGCCACCTGGTGAGGGGCGAGTAGGGGCCAGGGGCATGAGGGGGGCCGGGCGGGGCTGGGCGGGGGTCCCCGCCGGGCCGCGGGATCACGCAGCCTCTCTCTTACAGCTACTGCACCAATGGGCGGCTGAGTTGCCCACAGCGGCCACAAATGTTTCTGGGTACGTAAGGCAGCGTGGGCTGCAGGCTGGGACCATGAGGGCCCCACTTTCTCTGAGCGTCCTGACCGGCCCCTCTCCCCGCAGCCTCCTGTCCAACCCCCAAGACCTTCGAGTCCTGCAGCCAGTCCTCCGAGAATGAGTTTGGGGCGGCCTGTGCCCCCACGTGCCAGATGCTGGCCACCGGGGTTGCCTGCGTAAGGGTCACGTAGGATGGGGCCCAACGCCCGGACCAGCTGGGCCGTGAGAGGGTTTCCACAAAACCCCGGAGACCTGGCCTCACCCTGCCCCTGCGGCAGGTGCCTGAGGCCAGGGGGGAGGCGGGAGCGGCCCCGTGGCCAGGCAGCTGGAGGCTGGAGGACAGTGGGCCAGTGCCAGCTTGGGGAGGGTGGGCTGCCACTATGGAGGTGGGTACAGCAGCCCAGCCGTGTGCACAGGGGCCTGGGACCTTCCTCAAGGTGGGGGAAGCTTTGCGAAGGGAGGAAGCCCAGCTGCCCACAAACGCTGCAGAGCAAGGGTGTATTCGAGGAGAGCGCCTGGGAGGCACGCCGGGCGGTCTTGGAGGGGCCCAGGGGCCGCTGACCTGCCTCCCTGCAGGTGCCCACCAAGTGTGAGCCTGGCTGTGTCTGCGCCAAGGGCCTCTACGAGAATGCTGACGGGCAGTGTGTGCCCCCTGAGGAGTGCCCGTGTGAGTTCTCGGGGGTCTCCTACCCTGGGGGAGCTGAGCTCCACACCGACTGCAGGACCTGGTGAGACACAGCCTTGCTCCGGACGCTCTGGGCTCCTGGGGCCGTGTGGGGCAGGCGGGGCCGTCCGAGGTGGGGCTGGCTGTCCCGTAGGCGGGGGCGTCCAGAGGTGCAGCCTGGCCTCTCCAGGGACCACACCCAGTACGGCAGGAGGGCCTCGGGCCCACCACCCACACCTGCCGCCTCCACAGCACCTGCTCGAGGGGAAGGTGGGCCTGCCAGCAGGCCACCCACTGTCCAGCCACCTGCACCCTCTACGGGGAGGGCCACATCGTCACCTTCGATGGCCAGCGCTTTGTCTTTGACGGCAGCTGCGAGTACATCCTGGCCACGGTAACCACCCGGCTCGGGCTGGGGGCGGGGGGGCGCGGGGACCCAGCGGCACAGCACAGCCCCAGGGCTCCGCCTTAGCGCCCTCTCCCTGCAGGATGGCTGTGGTGCCAACGACTCCCAGCCCACCTTCAAGATCCTGACGGAGAACGTGGTCTGTGGGAAGGCTGGGGTCACCTGCTCTCGGGCCATCAAGCTCTTCCTGGGGGTGAGCGGCCGGCAGACTCCGGCAGGGCAAGAGGGGCGGTGGGGGCCCTGCCATGAAGCTGGACCCTGCCCACGGGAGCCCCCAGTCCGGCCCCCAAGGGCAGCCCCCTACCTGCCTCTCCTTGAGGGGTGCCTGCCTCCGCTCCGTGGCCAGACTCAGGACCAGGGGTCTTGTCTCCCACCAGGTTTCAGGGGCTGCAGAGTGTCTCCCAGGCAGAGGGGAGGGAGGGATTCTCCAGGAAGCCCGAGCTTCAGCCCTCAGCCCTGCCTCCCTTCTGCCCCGAGCTGGCTCTCAGCAGGCGCCCTTATGCGTGGCCATAACAGACCCGGGCAGCTCTGCCTCCGTGCTTGGTCCAGCACGGCTGTGCCGGGGGGCAGGGCAGACACAGGCAGCCCCATGACGTGTCCCCCACAGGGCCTGTCCGTTGTGCTGGCCGACAGAAACTACACAATCTCCGGGGAGGAGCCCCACTGTGCAGCTCCGGGTGAGGCCGGACGCGCTGAGCCTTGCCGTGGACGTCGGCGTCCCCGGCAGGTACAACCTGACGCTCGTCTGGAACAGGCACATGAGCATCCTCATCAGGATCGCCCGAGCCTCTCAGGTACCGCGGGGCTCGGCGCCCGCCCAGGCCCCACCCCTCCGCCCCGACACTGGGGTGGAGACGGTGCCGCAGGCCTGGGGCCCAGCCTGACGCCACTGCCTGCAGGACGCCATCTGCGGCCTGTGCGGCAACTTCAACGGGAACATGAAAGACGACTTCGAGACGCGCAGCCGGTACGTGGCGTCCAGCGAGCTGGAGTTTGTGAACTCGTGGAAGGAGAGCCCGCTGTGCGGGGACGTGAGCTTCGTGGCGGACCCCTGCAGCCTCAACGCCTTCCGGCGCTCCTGGGCCGAGCGCAAGTGCAGCGTCATCAACAGCCAGACCTTCGCCACCTGCCACAGCAAGGTGGGCGCCGGGCACGGGCTGCACAGATGCCCAGCAGGGGCGGGGGTGGGGGCCAGACCCTGTCCTGGCTCAAGGGTCTCCCTCCATGGGATCCCAGCCCTGCCAGGGCTGGGCGCAGAGAGCTCCAGACGCTCTGCCTGAGCTCAGGGGCCTGGTGTGGGGGCCAAGTGTACACGGCAGCAGTTTAGCGGCACCCCCGGCCTCTGCCCACCAAATGCAAGTAGCACCCCCAGACCAGTGCCATGAGCCCCCTGGGGCGGTGCTGCCGGCTGGGCCCCCTGCTCGGGAGCTGGTGGTCAGGACACACTTCCCGACCCGGTGCGCAGCTGGGGGAGCGGGAGGATGGGGGTGGAGGGCGAGGGGCAGCAGGAACTAAGAGGCTGGGGCACCTGGCAGCGGAACAGCCTGGCCCTCGCTGCTGAACCGGAGCGCGGTGTAGGGGGAGTGGACACCCTGGGTGGGGCCGCGGTGGCCGTGGTCTGCAGCACCTTGGTCCGGATCGGGGGGTCTCAGGGCACATGCTCAGGTCAGGCCTTCGAGGTGCTGTCGGCTTTGGGAGGGCGGCTGGCGGCCGGAGTCGGGGCTGAGGTCCACGTGGTGCCGCTCACCCAGTGCCAGCGCCCTTGCCACCACACTCCGGCCTCCCCACACCGAGGGTCCCTCAGGCAGCAAAGCCTGGTGCCCAGCCGTCCCCCTTGGCCAGACGCTGTCGGGCGCACACCCCACAGGTGTACCACCTGCCCTACTACGAGGCCTGCGTGCGAGACGCGTGCGGGTGTGACAGCGGCGGAGACTGTGAGTGTCTGTGCGACGCCGTGGCCGCCTACGCCCAAGCCTGCCTGGACAAGGGCGTGTGCGTGGACTGGAGGACCCCGGCCTTCTGCCGTGAGTGACCGCACCACCCACGGCCTGCTGTGACCCCGGCCACCCAGCACCACTGAGGCCCGGCGCAGGGCTGCCCTCGCCCACGGGCCCCTCTCCCTGGACAGGAGCCAGACTGGGCCCTGAAGGGCCCCCCTGGACCTCCCCCAGCCCCCAGCTGCCCACGGGAGGCTTCACCAACAGGGCCCAGGCCTTCCCCACCCACGCTCAGGTTCCACGCACGCCCGGGGAACCACCGGGTCAGGGCCGGGGCTGGGAACCCCGCCAGCTGACAGCTGCCTTCCTCGCAGCCATCTACTGCGGCTTCTACAACAGCCACGCACAGGACGGCCACGGCCAGTACCAGTTCACGGAGGAGGCCAACTGCACGTGGCACTACCAGCCCTGCCTCTGCCCCGGCCAGCCACAGAGCGTCCCGGGCAGCAACGTCGAAGGTGCCAAGTGGCGGGGAGGCAACACGGATGCACAGGGGACCCATTCACTCATTCACACTCACTCATTCGTGTTCAAACACGGTCGCTCATTCACACATTTCCATCCGCACGTTCCTTCGCATTCACCCACGCACACTCCTTCACACGCGCGTTCGCTCCCGCACGGCCCTCCCCTCATGCAGTCATCTGCACACACCCGCAGTCATTCACTGGCTCAGCAGATGCGTCCGGAGCACCTCTGTCCTCCAGGCCGGTTCCAGGGGACCTGGCCTTACGCAAGTCACAGTCCTGCACCCTGGAGCTTCCGTCCCAGCCAGGGAGCGGGGCCCAAGGAGGCAGACCCAGTGTCGGCTGAGGCACCCGCCACACAGTGGGGGGAGGAAGGCTGGGGTGGGCGAGCCACAGGCTTCCGTGTGCCACACAGGGGGGCTGGGGCCCTTGGTGGAAGGCCGATGTGTGGGTGAGGAGGGGGAGCCAGGAGGGTGTCCAGAGGACCTGCCAGGGCCCTTGAGAAAGCCAGGGCAGTGGGCAGAGCAATCGAGAGAGGGGCACGGGGCTGCAGAGGGGTGTGGGGTACAGAGGGGTGTGGGGTGGGGTGTGGCCGGGATGCAGGGGTCTCTGAGGCCTGTGGCTGCCCCAAGGCAGAGGTTGAGCGTGGACAGTCCTGGGATTCACAGGCGCTGGCCCACGCACTCGAGGAGGAAGGTGGTGTCTGGAGCCATCCAGACGGGCATGGGCAGATGTGCTGGGCACAGGAGGGCAGTGCAGGGCCCCTGCCTCGGGCAGCACGTCCAGGGCCCATGGAGCACAGGAGAGGGGCTGGTGTCTGAGGTCCAGGAGGAGGCAGGGACTGGAAAACAGCTCTGAAGCCCCCACCCTGAGTGATGAGCAGGGGTGAGGAGCCAAAGCCTGAGGGAGGCTGGCGCGAAAGGGGTGGCTTAGAGCAGGGTGCGAGGGGTGGAACTGTCATCCCAGTACTCTGGGAGGCCGAGGCGGGCAGATCACGTGAGGTCAGGAGTTCAAGACCTGCCTGGCCAACACGGCAAAGCCCCAGCACTACTAGAAGTACAAAAATTAGCTGGGCATCATGGCACGCGCCTGTAATCCCCGCTACTCGGGAGGCTGAGGCAGGAGGATCACTCGAACCCAGGAGGCGGAGGCTGCAGTGAGCTGAGATCACGCCACTGCACTCCAGCCTGGGTGACAGAGCGAGACTCCGTCTCAAAACAAACAAAAAAGGCAGAGAGAAGGGAAGGACACAGGTGGGCCTGGCTGGCCGCAGGTCACACGGAGCCTGGCCGTTCTCCACCCTAGGCTGCTACAACTGCTCCCAGGACGAGTACTTTGACCACGAGGAGGGGGCGTGCATGCCATGCGGTAAGTCCATTCTGCTGCCCTGAGAAGCCCTGCCCTGCACACAGGCAGGAAGCATGTCCACACCTCACAACAAGGCAGAGGGCCCTGGGGCTGGGAGCCTTTACGTCAGCTCTGGGACTCTACTGCCTGGAACCCTGGCCTCTGGGGGTGCTGAGACTCCCAGAGACTCAGGCAGCACCAGCCCATGGAGCAGACAGCATTGAACCCAACGGGGCCCTCCCGTCCCCTCCTCCCCCAGCTCCCCTTACCCTCAGCAGGCCTGCAGGGTGCCTGGGGTAGAGAGTGGGAATCGTCCTGGGAAGGGGAAAGGGAAGGGGGGAGCGGGGAAGAGGGTGCTCCCAGCCCCTCCCAGCCCCTCCCCCCGGCCTTGGCGAGCATCTCTGACTCGGGCCCTCGGAGCTCCCGGAGGCCCGACAGTGCCACAAGGAGCTGACCCCCTCTTCTTGCAGCGCCGCCCAGCACGCCGCAGCCGCCCACCACAGGTGATTGCACGCACACTAGGTGCCAAGGTGATGCAGGCCCTTTCCTGGGCTCCCCCTGGCTCCCTGGACAAACCTGCAGGGTGGGAAGCAGGGAGGGGGCAGGGAGCACTTCGCCCTTCCCGGGTCTAACCTGGCAATCAGAGCGGGGGTGGCGGGGGGAGCTCAGCCCACAGCCAAGCAGCCAGCCCGGTCCCCATGGCCCTGGCTGGACCCACAGGTGAGCACACAGTGGTGACCCCGGCCATGGAGAAGGCCTGGCCAGGAACCACGCTGCACTCAGAGGCCACAGGCCAGCCCTGAACCGCGTGCCCAGCACATTGGCCCTTGTGGGGCTCCCCGGCTTCAAGGCCCAGCAGGCTGCAGGGAGGCTGCTCCCCAAAGATGCGCTGGGGCCCTGCAGCCCTGATAGCGGGTCTGCCCCACTCAGGCTCACGGCCCACACAAGTCTGGCCCACGACGGGAACCGCCACCACCATCAGGCTCCTCAGCTCCACTGGACCCTCGCTGAGCTCCAAAAGCACCACTGCCGGCCCCACCCAGACACCCCTCCTTCCAGCCACACTCACACCCTCCAAGCCTACGGCCTCCTCGGGAGGTAAGGAGCCTCCGGCTGAGCCCGTGGGAAGGGCGACTGCAGGGGTCCTCGGCAGGCCTCTGGGGTGGGTGCACATGTGGCCCTGCCTCCCAGCTAAGCAGATTTTCAGGGCAGAATTTCCTATGCTTGGGAGACAAACCAGGGATTTTTTTCTGCTCACTTCGTGGGGCCATTCTGTACTGCCAGATGCGGTCACTGGAAATCCTGTGGGACCTGCATGGCCTCTGCCGGGCAGCCTGCCCCCCAACAACAAGCAGGACCCCATCCACCACCCAGGGACCCCAGAGTGGAGAGGAAGCAGTCCGCTAAGCTGAGCAGGGGTGGGCATGGGGCAGCCACAGCCCCATGAGCGTGTGGTCACTGCCCGGCCCTGGCCACCACAGCCAGTAGACGGCGGGAATACCTAACAAAGGCAGGCTGAGTCCCGGAGAGCAGGCCAGGGGCCCCAGGCACAGGGCAGGGGCTGGGACATGAGCCTCGGAGATGCAGATCTGAAGCAAGGGGGTGTTCCGGGCGGCTGTCCTCTGCAGAACCACTGAGACCAACCACGGCCGTCACCCCTCAAGCCACATCAGGGCAGACCCCCACAGCCACGCTGAGGTCGACAGCCACAAAACCCACTGTGACCCAGTCCACGACCCAGGCCACAGCATCCACCATCAGCCCAGCCACAAAGTCCACAGCTCAGTCCACGACACGAACCACGGCAACACCAGCAACATCAGGGACAAGCCCCACGCTGGGTAAGTCATGGTGCCATGGGAAGCCAGCGCTCCTGAAGGCTCCCAGTCCCACCTCCAGCTTGCATTCAGTGATTCAGCCAGAAGGGAGACCCCATACTTCCCAGAGGGCAAGGGGGAGGCAGCGCCAGTGTGCAGGCTAGAGCCGGAGGCGAGGGAGGGATACCAGCACCCACAGAGGCAGACCTGCAGAGTAAAGGTGCAGGAGGGCAGGGGCCACCACCAGAGCTACAGGGAGCCAGGGTGAAAGCAAGTGGGGCCCGGGCTGCAGTCCCAGAGCAGAGGCTGCACTGAGGGTGATGACGCTGAGCTGAGAGCAGGACACGGAGCAGGTCCAGGTGAGGCGGAGACACGGGCAAGCTGGAGGGCTCAGGAGGGGCCACTTCACAGGACCAGAGAAGGAGACAGGCCAGGAAACGTCACAGGGATAAAGACACAGGCCAGCAGAGGTGAGGGTACAGAAACAAAGACAAGAATGATGACAGCTTCACCAATTCCCACAGCAAAGTCCACCCATCAGGAACTGCCAGGCACAATGGCCACTCCGACAACAGGCCCACGTCCAACTGCAGCCAGCACCACAGGCCCAACCACTCCACGACCAGAACAGCCCACGAGGCCCACAGCCACGGAGAAGACAACGCACACAAGAACTACAGAAGACACAACGCCACAAACGTCACACACCACACACTCCACAGCTATGGGAGGCAGTCCCGCCTCTTCCACCGGCCCTACGATCACAGCATCCTTCAAGACCACTGCTACGCATCCAACCCCACCACACCCTCAGACCACACTTCCCACTCATGTTCCAACCTTCTCCACCTCCTCAGTGACTCCCAGTACACAAAAGATCATCACTCCTACCCATCCACCCATATCCACTTCCCCCTCCATCCACTCAACACCCACAGGCACCGTGCCAGTACCCACAACAGTCCAGGTCACAGGGACCACACACACAGCCCCACCAATCATAGCCACCACCACTGGGACCAGCCAAGCACACAGCTCATTCAGCACAGCCACAACCTCTACATCCCTCCACTCACAGGCTTCCTCCACACACTATCCTGAAACCACACCACCTCCTACCACCACCAGTACTCCAAAGCCCACTGGTACAGGAACCAGCACCCCTGTGGCCCACAGCACCTCGGCCACCATAAGCAGGCCACCCACACCCTTTACCACACAATCTCCACCTACGGGGAGCAGACCTGTCTCTTCCACTGGTCCTATGATTGCAACATCCTTCAAGACCACGACTACACATTCAACCCCACCACACCCTCAGACCACACGTTCCACTCACGTTCCACCTTTCTCCACCTCCTCAGTGACTCCCAGAACGCACACATTCATCACTCCTACCCACCCACCAATGTCCACTTCCCCCTCCACCCACTCAATTCCCACAGGCACCGTGCCTCCACAGACATCGGTCAGAGCCACAGGATCCACACACACAGCCCCACCAATGACGGCCACCACCAGTGGGACCAGCCACACCCACAGCTCATTCAGCACAGCCACAGCCTCTATATCTCTCCACTCACAGGCTTCATCCACGCACTATCCTGAAACCACCCCAACTCCTGCAACTGCCAGTACACCCAAGACCACCAGTAGAGGCACTGGCGCCCCTGTGGCCACCACCACCTCGACCACCAGCAGCAGACCACCCACACCCTTCACCACACACTCCCCACCTACGGGGAGCAGACCCATCTCTTCCACTGGTCCTATGACTGCAACATCCTTCAAGACCACCACAACCCATCCAACCACACCACACCCTCAGACCACACTTTCCACTCAAGTTCCACCTTTCTCCACCTCCTCAGTGACTCCAAGTACTCACACGGTCATCACTCCTACTCACCCACAGATATCCACTTCCCACTCCATTCACTCAACCCTGACAGGCACCATACCAGTATCCACAACAGTCAAAGCCACAGTATCCACACACACAGCCTCAACAATGACGGCCACCACCCATGGGACCAGCCAAGCACACAGCTCATTCAGCACAGCCACAACCTCTACATCCCTCCACTCACTTGCGACCTCCACACACTATCCTGAAACCACCCCAACTTCTTCCACCACCATTACTCCCAAGACCACCAGTACAGGAACTGGCACCCCTGTGGCCACCAGCACCTCGGCCACCAGCAGCAGACCACCCACACCCTTCACCACACACTCCCCACCTACAGGGAGCAGACCCATCTCTTCCACTGGTCCTATGACTGCAACATCCTTCAAGACCACCACAACCCATCCAACCCCACCACACCCTCAGACCACACGTTCCACTCACGTTCCACCTTTCTCCACCTCTTCAGTGACTCCCAGTACTCACACGGTCATCACTCCTACCCACCAACCGACATCCACTTCCACATCCATCCACTCAACCCCCACAGGCACTGTGGCAGTACCCACAACGGTCAAGGTCACAGGGACCACACACACAGCCCCACCAATCATGGCCACCACCAGTGGGACCAGCCATGCCCACAGCTCATTCAGCACAGCCACAAGCTCTACATCCCTTCACTCACAGGCTTCCTCCACACACTATCCTGAAACCACCCCAACTCCTACAACCACCATTACTCCCAAGACCACCAGTAGAGGCACTGGCACCCCTGTGGCCACCACCACCCTGGCCAGCAGCAGCAGACCACCCACACCCTTCACCACACACTCCCCACCTACGGGGAGCAGACCCATCTCTTCCACTCATCCTATGACTGCAACATCCTTCAAGACCACCACAACCCATCCAACCACACCACACCCTCAGACCACACTTTCCACTCACGTTCCACCTTTCTCCACCTCCTCAGTGACTCCCAGTCCTCACACAGTCATCACTCCTACCCACCCACAGATATCCACTTCCCACTCCATTCACTCAACCCTGGCAGGCACCATACCAGTATCCACAACAGTCAAAGCCACAGTATCCACACACACAGCCCCACCAATGACAGCCACCACCCATGGGACCAGCCAAGCACAAAGCTCATTCAGCACAGCCCCAACCTCGACATCCTTCCACTCACACGCTTCATCTACACACCATCCTGAAATCACCCCAACTTCTTCCACCACCATTACTCCCAAGACCACCGGTAGAGGAACTGGCACCCCTGTGGCCACCACCACCTCTGCCACCGGCAGCAGACCACCCACACCCTTCACCACACACTCCCCACCTACAGGAAGCAGACCCATCTCTTCCACTGGTCCTATGACTGCAACATCCTTCAAGACCACCACAACCCATCCAACCCCACCACACCCTCACACCACACTTTCCACTCACGTTCCACCTTTCTCCACCTCTTCAGTGACTCCCAGTACTCACACGGTCATCACTCCTACCCACCGACCGACATCCACTTCCACATCCATCCACTCAACCCCCACAGGCACTGTGGCAGTACCCACAACGGTCAAGGTCACAGGGACAACACACACAGCCCCACCAATTACGGCCACCACCAGTGGGACCAGCCACGCCCACAGCTCATTCAGCACAGCCACAATCTCTACATCCCTCCACTCACACGCTTCCTCCACACACCATCCTGAAACCACCCCAACTTCTTCCACCACCATTACTCCCAAGACCACCAGCAGAGGAACTGGCACCCCTGTGGCTACCACCACCTTGGCCACCAGCAGCGAGCCACCCACACCTTTCACCACACACTCCCCACCTACAGGAAGCAGACCCATCTCTTCCACTGGTCCTATGAGTGCAACATCCTTCAACACCACGACTACACATCCAACCCCAGCACACCCACAGACCATACTTCCCACTCACGTTCCACCTTTCTCTACCTCCTCAGTGACTCCCAGTACTCACACAGTCATCACCCCTACTCACCCGCCAATGTCCACTTCCCCCTCCATCCACTCAATCCCCACAGGCACCATGCCTCCACAGACATCGGTCAGAGCCACAGGATCCACACACACAGCCCCACCAATGACAGCCACCACCAGTGGGACCAGCCAAACGCGCAGCTCATTCAGCACAGCCACAACCTCTATATCCCTCCACTCACAGGCTTCCTCCATACACTATCCTGAAACCACCCCAACTCCTACAACCACCGTTACTCCCAAGACCACCAGTAGAGGAACTGGCACCCCTGTGGCCACCACCACCCTGGCCAGCAGCAGCAGACCACCCACAACCTTCACCACACACTCCCAACCTACAGGAAGCAGACCCGTCTCTTCCACGGGTCCTATGACTTCAACATCCTTCAAGACCACAACTACACATCAAACCCCACCACACCTTCAGACCACACTTTCCACTCACGTTCCACCTTTCTCCACCTCTTCAGTGACCCCAAGTACACACAAGATCATCACTCCTACTCACCCACCAATATCCACTTCCTCCTCCATCCACTCAACCCCCACAGGCACCGTGCCAGTACCCACAACGGTCAAGGTCACAGGGACCACACACACAGCCCCACCAATGACAGCCACCACCAGTGGGACCAGCCAAGCACACAGCTCATTCAGCACAGCCACAACCTCAACATCCCTCCACTCACACGCTTCCTCCACACACCATCCTGAAACCACCCCAACTTCTTCCACCACCATTACTCCCAAGACCACCAGTAGAGGAACTGGCACCCCTGTGGCAACCACCACCTCAGCCACCGGCAGCAGACCACCCACAACCTTCACCACACACTCCCCACCTACGGGGAGCAGACCCATCTCTTCCACTGGTCCTATGACTACAACATCCTTCAAGACCACAACTACACATCCAACCCCACCACACCATCAGACCACACTTTCCACTCATGTTCCTCCTTTCTCCACCTCCTCAGTGACTCCCAGTACTCACACAGTCATCACCCCTACACACCCACCAATGTCCACTTCCCCCTCCATCCACTCAACACCCACAGGCACCGTACCTGTACCCACAACAGTCAAAGCCACAGTATCCATGCACATATCCCCATCAATGACGGCCACCATCACCAGGACCAGCCACGCCCACAGCTCATTCAGCACAGCCACAACCTCTACATCCCTCCACTCACTCACTACCTCCACACACCATCCTGAAACCACCCCAATTTCTTCCACCACGGGTACTCCGAAGACCACCAGTAGAGGAACTGGCACCCCTGTGGCCACCAGCACCTCAGCCACCAGCAGCAGACCACCCACACCCTTTACCACACACTCCCCACCTACGGGGAGCAGACCCATCTCTTCCACTCGTCCTATGACTGCAACATCCTTCATGACCACCACAACCCATCCAACCCCACCACACCCTCAGACCACACTTTCCGCTCATGTTCCACCTTTCTCCACCTCTTCAGTGACTCCAAGTACTCACACAGTCATCAATCCTACCCACCCACCGATATCCACTTCCCCCTCAATCCACTCAACCCCGACAGGCACCGTGCCAGTACCCACAACAGTCAAGGTCACAGGGACCATACACACAGCCCCACCAATCACGGCCACAACCAGTGGGACCAGCCATGCCCACAGCTCATTCAGCACAGCCACAATCTCTACATCCCTCCACTCACAGGCTTCTTCCACACACCGTCCTGAAACCACCCCAACTTCTTCCACCACCATTACTCCCAAGACAACCAGTAGAGGAACTGGCATCCCTGTGGCCACCACCACCTTGGCCACCGGCAGCAGACCACCCACAACCTTCACCACACACTCCTCACCTACGGGGAGCAGACCCATCTCTTCCACTGGTCCTATGATTGCAACATCCTTCAAGACCACAACCCATCCAACCCCACCACACGCTCAGACCACACTTTCCACTCATGTTCCACCTTTCTCCACCTCCTCAGTGACTCCCAGTACTCACACAGTCATCACTCCTACACACCAACCAATGTCCACTATCCACTCAATCCCCACAAGCACCATGCCTCCACAGACATCAGTTAGAGCCACAGGATCCACACACACAGCCTCACCAATGACATCCACCACCAGTGGGACCAGCCAAGCACACAGCTCATTCAGCACAGCCACAATCTCTATATCCCTCCACTCACAGGCTTCCTCCACACACCATCCTGAAACCACCCCAACTTCTTCCACCACCGTTACTCCAAGGACCACCAGTAGAGGAACCGGCACCCATGTTGCCACCACCACCTCAGCTACTAGCAGCAGACCCCCCACACCCTTCACCACACCCTCGCCACCTACGGGGAGCAGACCCATCTCTTCCACTGGTCCTATGACTGCAACATCCTTCAAGACCACCACAACCCATCCAACCCCACCACACCTTCAGACCACACTTTCCACTCACATTCCACCTTTCTCCACCTCCTCAGTGACTCCCAGTACTCACACAGTCATCACTCCTACCCACCCACCAATGTCCACTTCCCCCTCCATCCACTCAATCCCCACAGGCACCATGCCTCCACAGACATCGGTCAGAGCCACAGGATCCACACACACAGCCCCACCAATGACGGCCACCACCAGTGGGACCAGCCACACCCGCAGCTCATTCAGCACAGCCACAACCTCTATATCCCTCCACTCACAGGCTTCCTCCACACACTATCCTGAAACCACCCCAACTCCTACAACTGCCAGTACGCCCAAGACCACCAGTAGAGGAACTGGCACCCCTGTGGCCACCACCACCCTGGCCAGCAGCAGACCACCCACACCCTTCACCACACACTCCCCACCTACGGGGAGCAGACCTATCTCTTCCACTCGTCCTATGACTGCAACATCCTTCAAGACCACCACAACCCATCCAACCCCACCACACCCTCAGACCACACTTGCCACTCACGTTCCACCTTCCTCCACCTCTTCAGTGACTCCCAGTACTCACACAGTCATCACTCCTACCCACCCACAGATATCCACTTCCCACTCCATTCACTCAACCCTGACAGGCACCATACCAGTATCCACAACAGTCAAAGCCACAGTATCCACGCACACAGCCTCACCAATGACAGCCACTACCCGTGGGACCAGCCAAGTACATAGCTCATTCAGCACAGCCACAACCTCGACATCCTTCCACTCACACGCTTCATCTACATATCATCCTGAAATCACCCCAACTTCTTCCACCACCATTACTCCCAAGACCACCAGTAGAGGAACTGGCACCCCTGTGGCCACCACCACCTCGGCCACCGGCAGCAGACCACCCACAACCTTCACCACACACTCCTCACCACCTACAGGAAGCAGACCCATCTCTTCCACTGGTCCTATGACAGCAACATCCTTCAAGACCACAACTACACATCCAACCCCACCACACCCTCAGACCACACTTTCCACTCACATTCCACCTTTTTCCACCTCTTCAGTGACCCCAAGTACACACAAGATCATCACTCCTACCCACCCACCGATATCCACTTCCTCCTCCATCCACTCAACCCCAACAGGCACCGTGCCAGTACCCACAACGGTCAAGGTCACAGGGACCACACACACAGCCCCACCAATTACACCCACCACCAGTGGGACCAGCCACGCCCACAGCTCATTCAGCACAGCCACAACCTCTACATCCCTCCACTCACAGGCTTCCTCCACACACCGTCCTGAAACCACTCCAACTTCTTCCACCACCATTACTCCCAAGACCACCAGTAGAGGAACTGGCACCCCTGTGGCCACCACCACCTTGACCACCAGCAGCAGATCACCCACACCCTTCACCACACACTCCCCACCTACGGGGAGCAGACCTATCTCTTCCACTCGTCCTATGACTGCAACATCCTTCAAGACCACAACTACACATCCAACCCCATCACACCCGCAGACCACACTTTCCACTCATGTTCCCCCTTTCTCCACCTCGTCAGTGACTCCCAGTCCTCACACAGTCATCACTCCTACCCACCCACAGGTATCTACTTCCCCCTCCATTCACTCAACCCTGACAGGCACCATACCAGTATCCACAACAGTCAAAGCCACAGTATCCACGCACACAGCCCCACCAATGACGGCCACCACCCGTGGGACCAGCCAAGCACAAAGCTCATTCAGCACACCCACAACCTCAACATCCTTCCACTCACACGCTTCCTCTACACACCGTCCTGAAACCACCCCAACTTCTTCCACCACTGTTACTCCCAAGACCACCAGTAGAGGAACTAGCACCCCTGTGGCCACCACCACCTCAGCCGCCGGCAGCAGACCACCCACACCCTTCACCACACCCACCCCACCTACAGGAAGCAGACCCGTCTCTTCCACTGGTCCTATGACTGCAACATCCTTCAAGACCACCACAACCCATCCAACCCCACCACACCCTCAGACCACACTTTCCACTCACATTCCTCCTTTCTCCACCTCCTCAGTGACTCCCAGTACACACAAGATCATCACTCCTACACATCCACCAATGTCCACTTCCCCCTCTGTCCACTCAACCTCCACAGGCACCATACCTGTACCCACAACAGTCAAAGCCACAGTATCCATGCACATATCCCCATCAATGACGGCCACCACCAGTGGGACCAGCCACAATCACAGCTCATTCAGCACAGCCACAATCTCTACATCCCTCCACTCACACGCCACCTCCACACACCATCCTGAAACCACCCCAACTTCTTCCACCACCATTACTCCGAAGACCACCAGCAGAGGAACTGGGACCCCTGTGGCCACCAGCACCTCGGCCACCAGCAGCAGACCACCCACACCCTTCACCACACACTCCCCACCTACAGGTGGCAGTCCCATCTCTTCCACTGGTCCTATGAGTGCAACATCCTTCAAGACCACCACGACTACACATCCAACCCCAGCACACACACAGACCACACTTCCCACTCATGTTCCACCTTTCTCCACCTCCTCAGTGACTCCAAGTACTCACACAGTCATCACCCCTACCCACCCACAGATATCCACTTCCCCCTCCATCCACTCAACCCCCACAGGCACCGTGCCAGTACCCACAACGGTCAAGGTCACAGGGACCACACACACAGCCCCACCAATGACAGCCACCACAAGTGGGACCAGCCAGGCCCACAGCTCATTCAGCACAGCCACAATGTCTACATCCCTCAGCTCACAGGCTTCCTCCACACACTATCCTGAAACCACCCCAACTCCTACAACCACCATTACTCCAAGGCCCACTGGTACAGAAAGCAGCACACCTGTGGCCCAGAGCACCTCGGCCACCAGCCACAGGCCACCCACATACTTCACCACACACTCCCCACCTACGGGGAGCAAGCCCGTCTCTTCCACTGGTCCTATGACTGCAACATCCTTCAAGACCACCACAACCCATCCAATCCCACCACACCTTCACACCACACTTTCCACTCACGTTCCACCTTTCTCCACCTCCTCAGTGACTCTAAGTACTCACACGGTCATCACCACTACACACCCACCAATGTCCACTTCCCCCTCCATTCACTCAACCTCCACAGGCACCATGCCAGTACCAACAACGGTCATGGTCACCGGGACCTCGCACACAGCCCCACCAATAACGGCCACCACCAGTGGGACCAGCCAGGCCCACAGCTCATTCAGCACAGCCACAACCTCTATATCCTTCCACTCACAGGCTTCCTCCACCCACTATCCTGAAACCACCCCAACTTCTTCCACCACCGTTACTCTGAAGACCACTAGTAGAGGAACTGGCACCCCTGTGGCGACCACCACCTTGGCCACCAGCAGCAGACCACCCACACCCTTCACCACACACTCCCCACCTACGGGGAGCAGACCCATCTCTTCCACTCGTCCTATGACTGCAACATCCTTCAAGACCACCACAACCCATCCAACCCCACCACACCCTCAGACCACACTTTCCACTCACGTTCCACCTTTCTCCACCTCCTCAGTGACTCCCAGTACTCACATGGTCATCACTCCTACCCACCCACAGATATCCACTTCCCACTCCATTCACTCAACCCTGACAGGCACCATACCAGTACCCACAACAGTCAAAGCCACAGTATCCACGCACACAGCCCCACCAATGACGGCCACCACCCGTGGGACCAGCCAAGCACACAGCTCATTCAGCACAGCCACAACCTCTACATCCTTCCACTCACACGCTTCATCTACACACCATCCTGAAACTACCCCAACTTCTTCCACCACTGTTACTCCCAAGACCACCAGTAGAGGAACTGGCACCCCTGTGGTGACCACCACCTTGGCCACCAGCAGCCAGCCACCCACACCCTTCACCACACCCACCCCACCTACAGGAAGCAGACCCGTCTCTTCCACTGGTCCTATGACTGCAACATCCTTCAAGACCACAACTACACATCCCACCCCACCACACCCTCAGACCACACGTTCCACTCATGTTCCTCCTTTCTCCACCTCCTCAGTGACTCCCAGTACTCACCCAGTCATCACCCCTACACACTCACCAATGTACACCTCCCCCTCTATCCACTCAACCCCACCAGGCACCATACCTCCACAGACAACCGTCGGAGCCACTGGATCCATGCACACAGCCCCACCGATGACGGCCACCACCAGTGGGACCAGCCAAGCCCACAGCTCATTCAGCACAGCCACAACCTCTACATCCCTCCACTCACACGCTTCCTCCACACACCGTCCTGAAACCACCCCAACTTCTTCCACCACCGTTACTCCCAAAACCACCAGTAGAGGAACTGGCACCCCTGTGGCCACCACCACCTCGGCCACCAGCAGCAGACCACCCACACCCTTCACCACACACTCCCCACCTACGGGGAGCAGACCCATCTCTTCCACTGGTCCTATGACTGCAACATCCTTCAAGACCACCACAACCCATCCAACCACACCACACCCTCAGACCACACTTTCCACTCACGTTCCACCTTTCTCCACCTCCTCAGTGACTCCCAGTACTCACACAGTCATCACTCCTACAAACCCACCAATGTCCACCTCCCCCTCTATCCACTCAACCCCAACAGGCACCATGCCTCCACAGACAACCGTCAGAGCCACTGGATCCATGCACACAGCCCCACCAATGACCGCCATCACCAGTGGGACCAGCCAAGCTCAGAGCTCATTCAGCACAGCCACAACCTCTACATCCCTCCACTCACAGGCTTCCTCCACACACCGTCCTGAAACCACCCCAACTTCTTCCACCACCGTTACTCCCAAAACCACCAGTAGAGGAACTGGCACCCCTGTGGCCACCACCACCTCGGCCACCAGCAGCAGACCACCCACACCCTTCACCACACACTCCCCACCTACTCACGTTCCACCTTTCTCCACCTCCCCAGTGACTCCCAGTACTCACACAGTCATCACCCCTACACACCCACCAACGTCCACTTTCCCCTCCATCCACTCAACCCCCACAGGCACCGTGGTTCCACAGACAACAGTCAGAGCTACAGGATCCACACACACAGCCCCACCAATGACAGCCACCACCAGTGGGACCAGCCACACCCACAGCTCATTCAGCACAACCACAAGCTCTACTTCCTTCATGTCCTCCTCGTCTCCTCAGAACTCTAGCTCAAGGCCACCATCATCTTCTGCCACCACACCACTGCCCCACTCAAGCTCTCCAACCACTCCGGTTTCTGCAACCCATCAGCTGCACTCGTCCGCATCCTCGCCGCCGCCCTCTGCCCCCTCCTCTGTTACGCCTCACGTGTCCTCCGCCCACTCCTCTCCCCAGACTTCATCTTCCTCGGCGGTGTCCGTGCCCGTGCACTCCACAACGCTGAGCTCGGGCTCCCACTCCTTTTTCACTCGTTCCCCAGCTGCGTCAGTGTCTGGGTCTCCTTTTTCTCCTTCTCCAGCTGCCTCTACCACCAGCAGGGCCTCCCTCCCCCACACAACTTCCCCTACTGTCGGCCTCTCCACTCTGCTCCCCATATCCACTCCCACTGCATCCAGCACCACAGCGTTTCTGTCCACGCGCAGGACCACGGCCAGCACCCACCTCGCCTCTGCCATCTCCTCTCAGTCCACCACCTCGCGCTCCACTTCTCTCACCACCCGAGTTCCCACGCCAGGCTTCGTGTCACTCACCTCGGGGGTGACAGGTATCCCAAGCTCTCCCATCACCAACCTCACCACCAGGCACCCCAGTCCCACCTCACTGCGTACCACATGGTTCCCAACCAGCTCCCTCACTGCGCATGGAAGCACCCCTGCTTCTGCCCCAGTATCTCCTCTCGTGACAACTACGCCCAGCTCATCCAGTAAGTGTTATCTCTGTGGCCCTGCCCCTGTCCCTGCCTCTGTGCTGGTGACTCCCAGTTAGCCCCTGCCTCAGCTTACCCCTCACAGTCCTGCGGTCCCAGGTACCCATGGGTGTTCCCCACCTTCCCTACAGGGCTGTGGGTCCTTTCCCATCTCGTCTCCTCTCCCAGGCACCCAGCAAGTGCCTGGCCTCCCCCATTGGGCCTTCCTCCCCCGCTAACCTTTCTTTTCTCGGCGCTGGCTCACTCATTCCCCTGTCCCTGCTGCACTCCTGGCCTCCCTTCAGAGGGACACCCGCCAAAAGCCGTCCACAGCTGCCCCTGTGGGTGCTCAGAAATGTCAGGTCTGGCCGGAGCCTAGGGTTCAAGCCACACAGCCCTCCCTCCAAGCCCAGAGAGAAAGACAAAAGCCCAACACAACCCCTGCCTCACCCCAGGGGAGCTGCTGAAGGTGGAGCTGGCCCTGATGACTGGGCCACCTGCTCCTTGGCGCTTGTGCCAATTCTCGGCCACGGCTGCTCCCGGCCCCCACTTGGCCTCCTGTCTGTGAGCGAGTCCCCTGCTTCCCAGGCCACGGCTCCCCATCCCACCTGGGAACAGAGCACACCTCAGGCCTCGTCCACATCCACCCCAACCCCCGTTCCAGGGACGTCCCTCCCTTTCCTCCTGGGTGTTCCTCTCACAGCAGCCACCCAGGGACTGGGTCCCTGCATGCCTGGACCCCCACTAGGCAGCTGTGTCACAGCTGGCTGCGTGGCCTCTCCTGTGAGGGGCAGCTCCTTGCTGCAGGCTAAGGGAATCTTGGTTTGGGTCCCTCCCTGAGACCAGGAGTTGGGTGGAGGCTGTTACCAGGGAGGTGACCCCAAGAAGCAGAGGTAAGGGAGCAGGAGCCAGCTGGGAGGGGAGGGCAGCTGCAGACGGCAGGGCTCGTGGAGGCGCCCAGAGTCCTGCCCCCTCCCGGAGAAAGCCCTCTGCCGCGGGCAGGCAGGCTCCAGGAAACGAAGCTGGGCACAGCCAGGGGAGGGCACACGGGCAGCAGCTCCCAGCCCTTGCCCAGGAATTCTATTCCACTTTTAATCCCAAGCTCCGCAGTGGCAGATTCTAATGTGGACGCTGCCACTGTCTGCATCAACCTGCCAGCTGCGTGCTGCCGGCCACACACCCAGGCCTCTCAGTGGGGCTGGCTGGGCCTTCCACGGGGGCCTCACCCCACCCCTTCCAGGATCCCAGACTACTGGGCCTGCTCCACTTCCCTCCTCTCCGGCTGGGGCCCGCGGAGCACCCGCAACGCCATCTGTCCCCCTCTGGGGTCACTGACACCGTGTCCTCGGCCCCCTGCAGGTGCTGGGTCCGGCCAACCAGAGATTCCCATGCCCACAGGTCGGTGACCAGGCCTGGGGTTGGGCATCAGGGAAGCTAGGCACCCCCCCCGGGGTGGCTCACACAGGCCAGGGCTCACTACCTGCTGAGTCCTCTGAGAACATTCTCTACCTTGACGAACTCCAGCATAGCGACTTTGAGACTTTGATCTTGCCTCTGTGCATGGCTGAGATCTAAGCTCTCCGGGGCTCCACCAGGGGAGGCCACGCCTTGGGCAGGAGGGTCTAGAGGCAGGTGGGGACGTGGTCCCCAGCCAGGGACCCCCTCCCTCCTCACTCCATGCCACCCTGGGCGCTGCTGACTGTCCAACTCTGCTCCCAGGGGTCTGCAGCGTGCAGAAGCAGCAGGAGGAGATCACGTTCAAGGGCTGTGTGGCCAACGTGACGGTGACCCGCTGTGAGGGCGTCTGCACTTCCTCTGCCAGGTGAGTCCACAAGGCAAGGCCGTCCCACGGCCAGCAAGGTTGACAACTCCGCCCAGAGAGGGGCCAGGGCAGGGCAGGGGCTCCCACACAGGCACCTGCTGCCCACTGCCTGCCCTGGCCCTTGGGACCAGGAGGTCAGCAGGGAGGTCCAGGCCTCTCTGGACCAGCTGGCCTGGGGAGGGAGGGGCCTTCTGGGCGCAGGCAGGCCCCTGCAGTAGCCACAACCCCTGCTCTGTCTTGGCTTTTCGGCAGTTTCAACATCGACACCCAGCAGCTGGATGCCCGCTGCAGCTGCTGCCGCCCGCTCCGTTCCCACGAGCAGCAGCTCGAGCTGCCCTGCCCCGACCCCAGCGCGCCTGGCCAGCAGCTCGTGCTCACCCTGCAGGTGTTCAGCCGCTGCGTGTGCAGCTCTGTGAGCTGTGGACACTAGTGGGGTCGCTGCCTGGTCTCCTGGGAGTGAAGGGCTGCAGATGACAGAAGGACAACCCCTCCTACCGGCCCCTTCCTGCTGCCGCCGGCCGCTGCGTCCCTGGTCACCAGCCCTGGCCCCCAAGAGCCCTCAGCCGTGGCTCACCTGAGGCACTGGTGGGAGAGAGGTTGCCAAGCGGAGGCTCAGACCACCACACTCCTGCAGACCCTGACCCAGCTGAGCGGGACTGAGGCGGGCAGTGGCCACGGACCCTCCCAGGCACACAGGGCACTCCCAACCACCCCTGTCCACTGTCCAACACCTCCCAGCCTCTGAGCTGGACCCCAGCCCTGCTGGGCCTAGAACGCTGCAGATGAGGCTGGGAGCAGATGCTGGGCCAGACCCATCAGGGGCGAGGACGACATGGAAACCTGCGAAGAGCTGGGGGCAAGAGGCCCAGGCAGGCACCGGCCCAGAGAAGGGGCCTCCCAGGGTCAGGGAGGGCAGAGAGTGGCAGGGAAGGTAGGGCAGCCACCCCCGCTCCCAGCCAGCCAGGAGCCCCCTCCCCACCAGCACCGTGCCGTCCCCAACAGCTTGTGCTGGGAAGACGGCATCACCTGGCCAGAGACTCCAAATAAACTGGTTCTTTTCAAGGCACAGAGGCTGGTCCCTGAGCACTGCTTTTGCCTCTCCCCAGCCCCTTCGACCTGAGGCACCCACTGCACACCTGCACCCTGCGGGCCCTGCGCTCTGGGGCTGGGCTGAGAAGAGAAGCTGGCTCTGGCCCCGGGCCCTCCCCTCCCTGCACCAGGACTGTCCCATCTCCAGCAAAGCCACCATCCCCCAGGGGCCACCCCCATGTGCCCGAGGGCCCCTCTGCCCCATCTGTGGTGGGACTGACCAAGGATCCCAAGTGGGGCCCCCTCACACCCACACGTAGCTTGGCAGGCCCGTTCTGCCAAGAACGGGAGGGAGCCCTGGCGGCACCCCAACACACTGTACAGCGGGAGCCCTGAGGCCAGGCTGGAGGGGTTGCCACAGGACCCAAGTCCCCAAAGGCTCCACCACACACCCAAAATCAAATGGGTAAAGCCAAGGACAGGCCACACGCTGAAGGACAGGCTCACCTCCGACAGGGCGGGGACCTTGCGGCCCGCGCCTCACACGGCCCCAGGAAGCCACAGGGTTACGTGGCTGCTTCCCCAAAGACCACGCACGATCCGGGCGCTGTTCTGGCCTTTTTCTTTGATGAGGCGCGCCACACCGAGGGGCCCCCTGCAGCGCCCCTCGCGGAAGCGATGCCTTGGGGAGCAGCCTTTCCTCCGATCATGGGAGAGGTTGAGGGACACGGAAGACGGATGGCAGCACACGTGGCCTGCAGGTGCCACCCACGGCAGAGCAGCCGGGACACCAGAAAAGAGGCCCACGCCGCCAGCTGCACAAACCCAGCACTGCGAGTCACACCTGGCACTGCAGGACCCAGAATGGCCAGTGTGAGGGGTGCACATCACTGACATGGCTACCCTGTGATCGAAGTCCAACACACCAGGAGAGCAGAGACACCACGGGCCGCACCACTGCATGAAGCTGTGGGACTGAGGCGTCCGTGAGCCCCTGCAGCCGCCCCAGGACCCGCACAGCACGAGGCTGACGGCCAGGGTGAAAAGCCTCACACAGGTGTGGCCGCCCACCCTCCAGCCTCCGCAGCATGTCAGGAAACAGGAACCAGTGCTGGGCATGTTTGGGACAGACAAGGCCCCCGTCCTGGGGACAGAGCGCAGGGCCCCAGCCGTGGCTCCACAGCCAGTCCCACTCTCTCGCCTCTCAGGGTCAGATGTGCAGCCTGGGTGCTGAGTCCACACGACGGGTGAGAGCCAAGCCGTGGGTGGCACACAGGCACGTGGCCAGTGGCCCCTTCACTTCCTGACCACGCAGAGGCTTCCCACCAGGACCACTGGACAGACCACTCAAAGCACTCAGGCCTGCACCGTGGCCTGGGGACGTCCACTCCCGACAGGAGAGACAGTCTTGCACCACAGCCCACGCTTTACCCTGGAGTCATGGGGGCCCCGCGGGGCCAGGGCACTCATGGGAGCCCGAAGGCAGGCGGTGAGCACACCTCGTGGGGCCAGCAGGATGCTCCTCCCGCCGCTGCACGTCTGAGGCCCCGGCAACTACAGGAGCGTGACGGATGCCCTTCCCGACCAGAAGCTGGGACAGGAAAACCACGACATTCCACCAGGACATGTGGTTTTGTCAGAAGTCATTACAAATACAAATGTTTCTAAATTCTAGATTAAAATCCCGACCAGGAAGACTGTCCAGCTAAGGCTGCGGCAAACCCGGGGCGGCCGTGCTCCTCCGGAGGGCCCAGGACGGTGCCAGGCGCACAGCCACCAGGACGGCCACACTGAGGTGCAGCCCCCGCCACGTGCAGCCGCACTGCTGCTTCCAAAGGCTCCGAGGCAGGTGAATGGCAGCATGGGGCAGCTCAGCAACACTCCCACAAATGCCACGTTCACACCAGCTTCTAATTTCCCTTTAATTTGTAGATTTAACCACAGAACTGTCTTGATTTTTATAAAAACTGATCCCAAAATCCACCTTCTGCCGCGGCTGCCGCAGTCCAGGCTGAGCTTTTCTCCTGAGCCACACACGCGTGTTCCTGTCCAGCCCAGAGGGGAGGGTTCCGGAGCAGTGGGGCGGGGAGGTGCCATGCGCTATGACGCTGGACACGGGGCGCCCATCTGCAGGATGGCCAGGCAGACAGACAGCACAGACGAAGGAGACGCAAGACACACGAGCCCGGCCTTCCCTCCTCGCCACTAGAACTGCGCCGACAGCAGTTCACATAATCTCTGGGAAACGGCTTCCTTACTCGTCCGCAGCGTGAGCCGGTACATCTGAAACAGAGCACAGCAGGACAGCGGGTCAACGGGCACGCCGGGGCTCACAGGCCCGCAGGTCCAGCCCCGCTACGCGGGAACCCTGTGGGCCACACCCAGGGAACGTGCGCTGGAGGCACCCGTAGCTCAGCAGAGGCCCGAGCACCACATGACGGTCGGCACGGAAACCGCGGGCCGGCTTGGGAGCACCTGGCGCCTCACACGCAGCTGGCGGAGTGTGCAGTGTGCGGCCACCTGGGGAAGCTGGGGGCAGCTTTGGCAGCGCTAAGCACAAACATTCCTGGGTGCTGCCCGAGTGAAACGCAGACAGGCTGTGGCGAGGAGGAAGGAGGCAGCCGCCCAGAGGAAGAGCTTCCGACGCACGTGGCAGCTGGGAGAGCCACAGCCCAGGCCCAGGCTGCTCCGTGGTGGGACGAGGCTTCCCGTGGCCTGCTGTGGCAAGGCTGGGACCTGACCACATACTGACAGGGTGGGGCTAGACGGGCACACATCTGTCGCAGCTGCCGGAACCGCACTGGAGAGCTCCGTGCGTCACCACGAGAACCGCCAGAATCCACCCGGGCGTGCTCAGCCGTTTCCCCAGGGCCTGACCTGGGCTTGCAGATTCGGCTCCAGGCGCAGCAGGCATCCAATCTGGGTGGTTTTCGTGTGTATGATTCCAGCTCCCACGAAATTCGCAGGATTGGGATCAACTTCTTCTAGAAGCGCAGAACCAAATCCAATGATCTGTCCAAACAAACAGGAGAATGAGGGCCTGTGCCCGTCGCAGGTGCGTGTCCCACGTCCCCCAAGGCCCCTCAAGACGCGCTACCTTGGCTTTGGTGACCTCTGTGTCCATGGGGTGCTTCGCCTTGAAGATGTTCTGGACTTCCTGTTGTGGGCTGAGAAACAGCAACAAAGGCCAGTGTTCTCAGCCAGGCCCGAGACCAAAGCCCACCTGTCCAGATAACCCCTGCCCCCACCCTGACCCTATAGGAAAACAAGTTCTCACTTGCTCAACTGCTTCCAACGTTGAAAGAAATCCTGAGAAGCCATTTCTGTGGGCTGGAAGAACTTGTTGAGCGTGATGGGCAGCTGCACGGAAACATTCTGGAAGGTGCCCCCATACCTGCAGCAGCAGCAGCAGCAGCAGAAAGAGACAGTCAGCTCCCCTCCAGAGCCCCAGGGGCCAGGAAAGAGCCCACAGTCGGCTCCTCCTCCAGAGCCCCAGAGGCCAGGGAAGGGCCCACCAGACAGTCAGCTCCGCCTCCGAGAGCCTCAGGGGCCGGAAACGGCCTGAGTGAGGTGTGCCCACCCATCGCCACCCACCAGAGGGGGGGTCGAGGTAGCTCGGTGTCCAGTGTCGCCCACAGGCAGTAGGGCAGGCCAGGGCCGTGCACAAAGGCAGGACGCCCCAGTGCCTCACTTCTCCCCATTAATCTGTTTCCCAAAATTCCAAGTCTGTGTAAATAGTGTGATTTTTTTTTCCTTTGAAAACACAAAGGCACTGGCACGAATAAAACAAAACTTTGCATGTCTATGCCTCCAAATTTTACAGTAAACAATCTTAAGTTTTCTGTATTTTTAATGTTAGAAAGTGTGCTTTTCTAAGCCAGGCATGGTGGTTCACACCTGTAATCCCAGCACTCCGGGAGACGGAGGCAGGCGGATCACCTGAGATCAGGAGTTCGAGACCAGCCTGACCAACATGGAGAAACCCTGTCTCTACTAAAAATACAAAAAAAAATAATTAGCCAGGCATGGTGGCTCATGCCTGTAATCCCAGCTCCTCCGGGGAGGGCTGAGGCAGGAGAATTGCTTGAACCAGGAAGCAGAGGTTGTGGTGAGCTGAGATCACACTACTGCACTCCAGTCTGGTGACAGAGCAAGACCCTGTCTCCAAAAAAAAAAAAAACTGAAGTATGCTTTTCTAAACATTCCTAACTTTAAAGACACCCAGCAGGGGACAGGCTGCCCGTATACGCTCTATTGTAGTCACTGAAAAGGGGAAGCAGCAAACAGTCGAAACAGGAAAATCCTACGTTTTAAAAAATAGCGGAGTGGTATGATCTGAGCTCTACTGCACAAAAACGCACCCCCAGGCCAGTGTCCGAAGGAAACCAGCTGCTCTCGCCCTGCGGCTGTCATCTGACACCAAGCCAGGGAGGTGGCTCGAGGGCCCTTGCTGTCTGCCACCCCATGAGGTGGGCCCCGCAGTGCCCGTAAAGATCCTAGCAGGCCCTGTTTGGGTGCCGCCTGCCGTCCTGGAGCCTGAGGCTTTGCCTCCCCTGGTTTCCTGCACTCTGCAGAGCTGGGGGCAGCAGCAGCTCAGGCCACACCCGTGCACCACGCACACCTGCAGGCCCTGGGTCCCCTCAGGAAGGACGCGGTGGGGGCACAGTGGGGCTGCTGGAGTCCAAGCGCCCACACATATTCCTTGGCCCAGAGCACACACTCTGACCTGAACTGAATGCTGAGGACCGGCGCCTCCGTGAAGTCAGACACGCACTCTATGTTGACCACCTGCTGCACCTGGGCACCCCCCTCCACGGTCGGGTCCACGGGCTTGGTCTGCAGGTTCAGGTGTGTGCGCATTAAGGAAACCAGCCAAGCAACCCCAGTGGCAGTGGCAGAAACGTGCCGGACTAGATCCCAGCGTGACCCGCGGAGGCAGCACACGCACCACACTCCGGGACCACCAGCTACAGTCGAGGGGCAGCCACTCCACCCGGCCCTGCCCTTCCACCCAGGCTGGGTCTCACCCACCAGACAACCCTCAAAACACTGCTGCATCTCACGCTCCCAAAATGATGCCTCCATT